GTAGTGACTACTTCTTGCCTTGATAGAAACAGCCATTGCTGTAGCAAATCCATGACTATGGTGCTTTTCTTCAGACATCAGATTTGCCCAATTGTCCCTTGAGATCAAAAGACAGATTTCCATTTAGAGTGGAGCAGAGGGAATAGCAAGCATCTAAACTAATCTTAAGTTTGAGGCTTGGAACAAGGAGGTGGAGGGGGTAGAGAGGAAGGAAGAGACTTGAGGAGGTGGGTGTGAGTGTACAATTTTCCCCTTTTCTTGGCTTAAAAATGTAAGTATAGCAGCAGCCACACGTTAGACATCGTTCTTGAGTGGCTTTCCTTTAAAAAGGAGCTGATTATGTGAGCTGTGCAACTAAAAATAGGTACCATCGGACAAAGCAAAAAAAAGCTTCCCCAGCTGTATTTTATAATCTGGATATTTTCATAAAATTCATACTAGTGTACAATGCCCACCTTGGCACTAGTAAGCAAGAATGATGCCCAGAGAAGGCAGGAATCACCCTTCCTAGAGAGGAGAAATAAAAGTAAAAATGTTATGGAGAAGGTTATACATTTACTAGTGAGACAAATGAGCATTTATCACAGAACATTTTGTGATTTTGATTTTTTTGCTTATAAATTCTCATGTTTTTGTTCATCAGGGCACATATATACTTGGTATATATGTAAATTGGATATAGCATGTTTTCCTTTCTTTCCTTTTTTTGTGGTGTTTTATGCATTTGAATATGGTAGGATTTCCAAAATAAATGTTTCTTAAATTGCTAGTGACATATATGTGATTCTAAAGAGAATGGGTATTACTACACTTTACAGTTTTTCTGTTAAGACTTTGGGTTGTTTTTACTAGGCATTTAAATTACAAGTTGTTGTTTTTTTAATCTCAGGAGCCTGTTAAACTCTGAGCAGACCCAGAGTACTAAGATAAGAATGAAAATAATCTCTTATACCACAAATTGACTTCCCTCTTTGTAGTCTTAGACACTGTTTCCAGCTGCTTTCAGTCTTTTAAATCGTTGAAAGCTTTCCTAATCCTCATGTAGGCAGTCTTTCTGTGTTATACCTCCCTCCCCTTTTTGCTGATTGGTGAGGCTATTTCATGGCCTAATTCAGCCAACTACTACATATCTGAGCAGTGATTTGAAATAAGAGCAAGGCGGACAGTTGCCTCACTACTCCTGACTTTTAATAGGCTAGAAGAAAGGTTGCGAAACTTGACATTGTCTTAGAAAGAGTCCCCACAGCAAAAGATAAAGGAAAATGAGAGACTGAAACTTAGCAGCTTGTTTGTACTGGAAAACTGCTGATGGATTTTTGTTTTTACTTTGAAATCACACTGTAAGTTTGAATTCAGACTGTTTCCTGCTGGATGGATAATGGAATTCTAAACATGAGGCAGGTAAGGAACGTGCTGCAGAGCACTTAGAGATCTGTAAAGGGAGTGAGGGAGTTGGGTTGGTTTTGTAAATATTTGCTTTGTTGAACTAGCTAGCATTTTCAGAAATCTTTGCAGAGTTTAGGTTTTTAGCCTGAAGATCCTTTTATGTAGAAATTAATTTAAAAAATAACCAAAGGATTTTTTGTGACTAATTTTGATCTTATTGGTAGTCAGTGATGTCATGCCATTCATTGTGTGATTCAGTTTCCTAAAGGGCATGAAAGCTGTTTGTAGAATATGTAAATCAATTCCAATTTGCTATGGCTTAAATACATTGTGTGGACTTTCTCACAACCTTGTTTGTGACATGTAGGATAGGAATGTGATGTGTTTATAAATGTGGAGGTGCCAGTGTACCATGGGTGTGATTTATTAACCATGCACATCAACTGGGATTCAATTGCCACTACTTTAATTTTTCAGTAGCTTTAAAGCAGCTTTCTGTTTTCAAAAATATTGCAGAAAAGAACCTAGAAAACCAATGATTATTCAAATATGATTACTTTTTTAATGGACAAAAGCAGCTGTCTTCTAATTCCGAAAGTGAAAGGTCACAATTAGATAACATTTTGATACTATACTGTTTGTAGATTTGCAATTAAAATATGCAGTTAGAAGAACCTGAGAGAGTACAGAGCACTGGCAGATGTATGTCTCAGTCACACAGAAGAGCTTTACTCTGAATTAAAGACCCTTGAAAATCAACATCCTAAAATCAATACTTTTGTTTTATGAGTAGTCACTGTATGAAAGTCAGGCTCTGAGAAAAATATTCTTGTTCTTTGTGAGAGTCATAGTCTATTCATGCAGCTGTCTGATATCAGTAGGACTTGGGGTAGGCAGGAGAGAGGAAGAGAGGGTAGAAGCAGAAGTGGAGTTTGCACCTGCAGTGCAAAATGGAACATTTGTGTTTTTACCCCCTTTTTGAAAACAAGATGGAAGCATAATCATGTACTTTAGACCATTTTGCAACATGTGGAGGAAAAGCAGGTTTTTTTGCAAGTGTGCAAAAACCTGCTTTTTTTTTTTAAACCACATTAAGATTGTTAGGGGGTTGTAGGGAGTTCTTGTCACAGTAGAGTGCCAATGGAAACTAAAGTTTACCTTGTGCATTGCTTGAGTTCAATTAGTCCTTTATTGATGTGATCAGCAGACAGCATTGTCACCACAAAGGGGAACCTTACTAAAGGGAGGTGTCAAAGAGGATCAGAAGAAAGTTGGGAGATCTCAGGTCATAAGAAAATAAAACACAAACTTTGCTACCATCAGATGAATGTTGCCTATCTGGGATGCTTCCCTTTGAAGCATATGATTGTAAAGTATGCGTCTGTATGCGTCAATAAGTAAGAAGAGGAAAATAAACCAAGAAGGGAGAAAGTGAGAAAATATAAAGAACTATAGTTCTTCAGTGACTCCCCAATAAAAGGTAAATGAGAGGGATAGATTTAGCATTAGGATATTTTTGGCTCCTTATAATATCCATTATCCTTCAACAGAACTCCTCCTTTTTCCACTTCCTATGTCAGCAGTATCTCCTGAGATGTTGCACCCCTAAAGCTGGGAATATGGGTCTAATCTCTCCCCCTTCCCCTCCTCCCATATTCAGCAGTTTTAAATTGCTACAACACTCTTAATATCAATGGCGTTACTCCTGTTTTCCCCCCTCTGTATTTGAGAGGAGAACCAGATCCAATAGAGCAGTCCCTTGACCGGCGTAAATTGTCATAGCTGCATAATGGAGCAACTACAGCACTTAAAGATCTGCCCCTGTATGTTTAGACATGTATTTTAGTGTAAGATTTCCTAACTTGGTTGACTTCACTTCACCCCATGCACAGTTCTGAAGTTTCTACCAGTTTTCAGTTGTTTGTGTGTGAAATATTTCAGCTTGGCAGAGAGAGAAGTCTGTGTTTACTACGAGTTCTAGCCGAACAAAAGCCAGTGACCTAATAGTCTGGAGTTGAAGGGACTAATCGTGCATATGTTGACAGAGATCAAACAGACTCTTTGCATTTTTAAAATGATGTTAAGCCTCCAAATGTGATGACCGAAGTACAGTACAAAGGAAGAAAGGAAATATTCAGGAACTGATGTGCCATGAAATCAGAGGCATGAGATGCTTTGGAACCACTTCTGATTTTATTTTAAAATTTGTGAAGAGAATGAGTGCTCAGGAAAAGATGTGCCTTTTATATCTGCTAGCCAGTTTGTTGTCATCGTTATAGTATAGTTTGGATTTGCAGGGTTAACTATCAAACAAATCTGTGTGTCATCACATTCAAATGAAATTGTATATTGTGCTGATGAATGATCTTTGCCCACAGAATATACAGCATACAGATACTGAACAAGAGTGCATAGGCTCAAAATAGTGCAATGCAGCTAACTATCCTAGCAGAAGAACAGAAATTACCCACAGAAATGTAATATGCTGCCTGTTGGGCTGATAAGATTCAACCTGCTTTACAACTGTGCCAGGCCAACAGTCTCTAGCGGGACATCATTGGTTAGTTGTATGGAATGCTGTGCTAAGATTCGTAAATGAGACAGGTAAAAAGAAGTAGCCTTTCATTAGGAGGTAATTTAAAACCTGTGCAAGAGCTGTCTCGGTTCTGTCTGATATAAATAATAACCTAACTGAAACTTCTGTAATGTGAAGTTTCCACATAACTGCTGGGCACATCACATCTTTGAAAGCAGGTTAGTAATTTTGAAGCTGGAAAATGTCAGGCCTCCGATCAAAAATACATTCTTAGGAAGTGGAATTGTGTAGTTTCTAACATGATAGCCAAAAAAACAAGGTACCACAAAACAAATCTTCAGCTTCACAATGGATATTGAAATTTTCATCTGCCGAATCTCTGACCAGCTCACTACTTGGGAAAAGAGGTCAAAAGAGTAAGAACTCTCAAAGATCAGAAGTTTAGATAAGAATAGAGCTGTATCAGAGAGGGCTAAGATTTATTGAGGCCACTGTGGCTGTATGCAGTTTGCTTGCTTGTGTTTTTGGTATTTACTTTAAAACTGGAGAGGGCAGTATGGTATCTGTTTTAAGTTCCCCAAATGGATTTTATAGAAAGTAGATTTTTTTTTTAAATATTCAAACCCATTTTCAAACTCCATTTTTTCCCACAACAAATAATATCCTCGAACATTCTAAATCATATTGCAGTACATAGGAATTCTGTGAAAGCAGATATAAGTCTTTTTTCCCCACCCATTCAAGTCAATGGCACTTTTCCCATCTAAGTCTTTTTTTCCCCACCCATTCAAGTCAATGGCACTTTTCCCATCGACTTCTATCAGGGCAGGACTGGGCCCAAAGTCTTATAAAAGCATCCTATAAGACATGCAATTTGCTAATGGATCATAATTAACCTAATTAAAAGTGAAGATAAGATCTGTAAGGCACACAGGCTATGTCAATTCTTATTTATCATAGCTGTAGTCATATAGCTTGTATAGTATATGATTCATATGGTGCTTACATACTGAATAGAATTTTAGTCAATAACACATGTAAAATATAAAATCATCCTTCTATACAGATGTTTAGCTTTTTAGCATGTGGTTTCTATTTCCTATTTTCGTTAGTGCACCTTTTTAATTCTTAGATTTCTTAGCAAGGAATAAATTATCTCCTTGTCCTGAAATATTGTAATCATAAGACTTGGTTTAGGAAGTGCTGCTTAGAATGCCATGCTGTCTTTTTAAAAAAAATTAAGGGCTGTCTTGTCTGGAATGAGAATTTTTATCTCCGAGAGTGCTGTTTTTGTGTGACATGTATAATAAAGAAAACAAGTGTATGGAATCTGTAGACTGAGTTTGTATCATTTAATTAGTAGCTGGACATTACCCCGTAGGAAGTCTGGCAAGGTTTTTGTGTGTGTGTATGTGTATGTTGTCTGCTTTCTTTGATCACTTGTGTGGTAAATAGACATGCAGAGTAACTATGGCAACATGTGCTGTAGGTTTGTGGGAACAGAAGGGATTCAATCACTGGACAAAGGCCAGTTTGTTAGAATAGTTGGTTATGATCAGAAAAAGGTGTCACCAAACAGGACATTTAAAAACATAAGTTTTGAAAAACTCATATATCTTTTACTAATTGGAAAATAACATTTACTTTTGTAGCTATGAAAGATCATGCCATGTTCAAGGGTGGATCTGGAGAAGGGAAACAAGAAAAAAATCTGAGTATAAAATGATGCTATGTGATTACTATGCAGTATATGTCTTTTGTAAAACTGCCTTTGAACCAAATGCACATATTAGGGCAGGCATTAAACGTTTTAAAAATAAATCTTTAAATATTTAAACTAGTCAGTGGTTTGTGTATTACAGCAGGAAACTGGCCTTCTACAGTGTCTAAAAACAAGTCTTTGTAAAACCAGTGATCAAGATACTGTACTTATTTCAGTTACCTACCTGTAGAGGTCAGACTTGAAGTTCACAAAAACTTTACATGATAGAATTTAAACCAGAGTTAAAACAGTAAACATTCCAGAGCAGACTTCTTTATTAACTTTATACTGAATTAATTAATTATCATTTTATAAATAGCATATGATTAAATAGTCTGGTGTGCATAATCAGCTTGGAATAAATAAAAAAGGAACCTTCTCCCCTATCTTTAACAGAACCAAACCTAAACCTTTTATTGGGTTCTAAATTATTTAGTGTATATCTCTCTCACTAATCCCCAACAGGCCTTCTACCTTTGATGAAATGCATCTCAGGTTCTCAGAATGTCTGGCATTCTTTGCTGGGCTAACTGCTGACTTCCAATCTAACAAATTCCAGGGCTTCTGGGGGATCAAGGGTGGGGGCAGTGCATTCTGGACTGCTTCTAACCTGGGGAAGCCTTTGCACTCAGTTCAAAACAGTTCCAGACCTTAGAGCCCATCAACAGAATAGCTCCAAAGGTAAGGAGTCTGCTGGAGGGTGGTCAGAGATACTCTTTGGGACTGAGAAATTAGTAAATGCTCAGGGGATTTGTTGAAGCTCAGCAGAGTTGAAAGATGGAATCAGGGAGAAGAATCAAGTGGGGTGGGAGGAAGTGGGGTGGGAGGAAATGAGGCAGGGAAGCAGAGGCTAGTAAGAGAGAAACAGAGGGGACATACACAAATGTGATAAAGGTTTGAATACACACCAGAATGGTCAGGGCTTATATGAGCTGAACTTCCAAACCTTTTAGGGTTTCCCATCCGCTAGTCCACCTTTTGCAGCATAATTTTTTTTCTGTACATTTGTGGCATTTAGTGCTTATCCTGTTTCTGTAAAAAGTTATTGAACATCATTGAGATCTCAAGCCTGTAATATGAAGTCTATCCTGTATGGAACTTAAAGATGCCAAAACAGTTTGCTTAATCTCAGTTTGATCCGATTTTTATAGTAAAAATAACTCTTAGTATTTTAAAGCGATAATTCCCTGTTCTCTGCCACTTCGTAGATATTTATTGTTACTATACCATCTTATGGGGATATGGATGGAAAAATGTACAAGTGAAATATAACACTTGCTGGGGTGTTTATTTGGTCCTGCAATACGATTAGATTTTTTTTATAACATAAATGTTAATATGTCCAGGTCTAAAAAACATTTTGAAAAGTACTAAAATGATTAAAAGAAACTTAGGGTTCTACTCCTAGCTCAGTGGGACTGAGAAAATACAGAGGGTTTGGTATCAATTTTTATTTGAACAAAGAGGACTATAATGAAAATGTTTTGCCACCGTAATACATGTCTGAACTATCAAGTTGTATTATAATATATTTTATCACTGCTATAAGGAGTCGGTACTTGACAGTCCATTACACTTTGTTTATTTTGGGGGGAAAAGAGGATGAATTTTTTGCATTTGTACAAGAGGACTGACAATTGTTCTCTGGGCACTTAACTTTCAGTGGCGCATTGAGCATGAGCTATAGGGAAGTTATAGTTCTGTATTCTCCATGTATTCATCTTGTCCGTGTCACAGGCTCAGCCAGAGCAGCTGCTATGGAGCTGAACGAGCCACTTTTCTCTTGACATTCTCAAAACCGAATTCAAAGTTTCTGTTAATTCTCATACTTGGCTGGCTGCAGAAGGGTAACCAGTGAAAGTTTCTCAGGTGGCATTGCATGCAACTATCAGCACAGCACCAAAATGATTCTCACAATGTCCATATGACAACACGTGTAAAGTTTTCTACATGTGTAAGTGTAACCCTTCTGCTAGGTGCCGATGTCACCCACAAGGGCTGGGTTTAATCTGTCTGTCTAAAATAAATAAATCTATGGCTCTAGCTCTCACTCTGAGATGTGTAACTGCTTTTGGATCTGGGAAATAGACCTCCCTGTTCATCTTTGCAGGTGATCTTTCCCCACTGAAAAGCACTCTTGAATTCTTGGGCATTCAGCACCACCAGCACTTTTTAAAAATTTTGGTGTGAGTGGCAAGGGAAAAAAAATCACAATAGCCACATAGATATCTATATACAGTAATGTGAGCATAACCTAATCAGTGTTTCAGGCGTATGACCGCTTCCACAGATCCAATGTATTATTAGCCCAGATGGTTGATGTTTGGAACTCTTACCCATGAAGCAATTACCCACTCACCTGAATCCCATTCATGGGGCCAACAAGAGTGGTAATCAGAGGAACATCAAGGGATGGCTCCACTCTGCCTGTCATCTCCAGTCCAGAGAAGTCTGCTCCATTGGGTCCTGCTCCAGTGTGGAGCCATCTGATCCATTAATATCAGAACATTGTCAGGCTTGACAGGTAGTGATCAACAGTTTGATGTCCAGTTGGCAGCCAGTATCAAGTAGGGTGCCTAAGGGTTCAACATCTTCATTAATGATCTGAATGAGAGGATGGACCCTCTACAAGTTTGCAGATGACACTAAGCTAGGGGTGAGAGGCAGATATACTGGAGGGTAGGGATAGAGTCCAGAGTGACCTAGACAAATTGGAGGATTAGGCCAAGAGGAATCTAATGATTTCACCTAGTACAAGTGCAAGTCCTGCACTTAGGAAAGAAGAATCGAATGTATTGCTACAGATTGGAGACCAACTCGCTAAGCTGCAGTTCTGCAGAAAATGATATGGGGTTTATAATGGACTAGAACCTGGGTATGAATCAGCTGTGCACCCTTGTTGCTAACAAGGCTAATGGTATGTTTGGCTGCATTAGTAGGAACACTGCCTGCAGATCAAGGGAAGTGATTATTCCTTTCTATTTGGCACTGGTGAGGCCACACCATGAGTATTGTGACCAGTTTGCCCCTCCCCCACCCACAAGAAAGTATATGGACAAACTGGAGAGAGTCCAATGGAGGCAATAAAATGACTGGGAGCTGGAGTGCATGATTTATCAGTAGGGTCGCCGGTTGTCCAGTATGATACAGGACAGTCCGGTATTTGCACTCTTTGTCCGGTAAAAAAAAATCAGAATACTGGACATGTGCAATGAATTTTTCGGCTGCTCACCGGTCGGAAGCCTGGTGCAGGCAAGGGGAGTGGCTGGAATGTGTGGCCGTGATTGGCACTGGGAGCCTGTGATTGCGCAGAAGCCTGGCGGGGGCGGGGGCAGGGCCTGGGACTCCCAACCACTCTCCACACTCCTGCTAAGCTTCTGAAGTGCCCAGAGTGGTGATCATGGCCCCACTTACCAGTTGGAATCACAGCTCTGGGTGCTTATTATCCCGTGTTCCTTTTTTTTTTTTTGCTCGGCCAAAAAATATCACGACTGGTATTTTTTGGGAGACCATCTGTCAACCCTACTTATCAGGAGAAGCTGAGGGAACTGGGCTTTTTCAGTCTGAAGAAGAAACAAATGATGGGGGATTTGATAGCAGCATTTAGGGTTGCAGGTGTCTGGTATTGGCCTGGACACTGTATCAGCAGCCTCTGTCCGGTTTAAAAAAAACCCAGAAAGGTTGCAGGTGTCTGGTATTGGCCTGGTCACTGTATCAGCAGCCTCTGTCTGGTTTAAAAAAAAACCAGAAAATACTGGACATGTAAAATGTCCAGTATTTTTTGTTTGTCTCAGATGGAAAGCCACTTGGGACATTCCTCCCCTGCTGCATCTGGTGGGGGGAGTGAGGAGTGTGGAGCGCTAGGATTTAAAGGCGCAGTGATCCTGTGTGTGTGTGTGTGTGTGTGTGTGTGTGTGTGTGTGTGTGTGTGTGTGTGCGCGCACGCTCTTTCCTCAACAACTTTGGTCCTCCGTGTTTTGTTTTGTTTCTTTGCTCAGCCAATTTTTTCCAAGCCCTCAACAACTTTGGTCCTCTGTGTTTTGTTTTGTTTTGTTTCTTTGCTCAGCCAATTTTTTCCAAGCTATGTTTGGTATTTTTTGAGAAAGTATCTGGCAACCCTAGCAGTGTTCAACTACCTAAAGGGAGGTTCCGAAAAAGATGGAGCCAGGCTGTTCTCAGTGGTGGCAGATGACAGAACAAGAAGCAATGGTCTCAAATTACAGTGAGGAAGGCTTAGGTTGGATATTAGAAAAAAGTATTAAATGAAGAGGCTGGTGAAGCCCTGGAATGGATTAATTAGGGAGATGATGGAGGTTTATAAAGCCCAGCTTGACAAATCCCTGGATGGGATGATTTAGTTCAGGTTGGTTCTGCTTTGAGCAGGGAGCACTAGATGGCCTCGTGAGGTCTCTTCCTACCCTAATCTTTTATGATTCTATGATCGATTTTTATAGCTATGGTGAACTCAGTCCTATTCCACCCTTGGCTGAAAGGACACTGTAAAGTTAGTGCTGCAAAATCTTTATTGTAGGTGAGCACTTTTTTTTGCTCGGTGAAGCTTTGGAATGCTACATGTTTACCTATACTATTCATTCTGCATCTTGACTATTGACACTTTGATTTCCAAACTTTGAGTCAAAATTTTTAAAGTGTGTGTTTTGACTTTGAGCCTGGTCCACTGAAGTAGATGAGAGTTTTATCTTTGATTTCAGTTGCACAGGATCAGTGCTGTGATATTTTATTGGTGTGGTTCATTGATGCGTAGCACTTGATTAATTGCACAGTAGATGTTTGTGTAAATGATTCCAACTCTTGCAAAATCTGATAAGTGCATTTTGAATGTTGTATTTCGGGATTCTTTTCTTTTCTAAAAATAATGGCTACGTCTAGACTGGCCCCTATTCCGAAATAGCCATGCTAATTTCCAATTTTGGAATAGGGAAATCCGCGGGGGATTAAAATATCCCCCGCGGGATTTAAATAAACATGTCCGCCGCTTTTTTTCCGGCTTGGGGAAAAGCCGGAAAAAAGCGTCTAGATTAGCGCGATCCTCCGGAATAAAGCCCTTTTCCGGAGGATCTCTTATTCCTATTCCGAAATAGCCATGCTAATTTCCTGAAAGTAGGAATAAGAGATCCTCTGGAAAAGGGCTTTATTCCGGAGGATTGTGCCAGTCTAGATGCTTTTTTCTGGCTTTTCCCCAAGCCGGAAAAAAAGCGGCGGACATGTTTATTTAAATCCCGCGGGGGATATTTAAATTCCCCGCGGATTTCCCTATTCCAAAGTTGGAAATTAGCATGGCTATTTCGGAATAGGGGTCGGTCTAGACATATGTGTATTCCCCATAATTATGTGTGTACCAGTTAATACCAACTCTGCTTCAAACCCACACACTATGCTTCAGCCATTCCTCTTTACATGCGCCTGCCTGGTGATCAGAGTACAATATAATCATTCATTGAAAAAAATATTACAAAGGAGACATTACAGTTATATTCTTAACAGAAAATGTTCTGACATTTTGACATTTATGTTGTCAGCTGCAATGTTGTATTGTAATAAATTTTAGTCTTCTGTAAGGGGAATAGAATCCCAGCTTTAATTGTATATTAATGACAGTTTTGCTTAGGGGAATTAGTATAAATCTTCTAATTAGATTAGGAAAAGAGAGGAGAAAAGCA